CCATTTTGTGAAAAGAAATTAAGTTAAAATAAATTAAAGATTTTTTTGTAATTGGGGGGACGCTACCAGAGTCAGAAGACTCGGCATTTTTTTTATTCAGCATTTATTTGGATAAATATATACAATAACACATTTTTTTTAACACAGATAGGATTATATAAATCTTCCTAAAATTACCAAATATCTAACATAAAATAAGATTCATTTTTTTCTAAATTTCAGTTCAAATTTTTTTTATCAACATAATTTTTTTTTAAATTTTTAAAAAATTTAAATTTTCAAACATTTGTTTCAAAAAACAAATTAAATTGAATTTTTGTCGAACATCTGATTAAGCGGGTTCCATACAGTTCATATAAAACCTTTCGCTTTGCATCAGATATGGTTATGTCGGTTCCATAAAGTTTAAATCAAATCTTTGGCTTTTCATCTGATCTTAAGTCAAGCTGGTTCCATAAAATTCACGTATTCCCGTTTATGCGCTTTATCGTGTGCGTCCTATCAAATCCTGTTTCCTCGACTAGGTACCTGGTTATCACACATAAGCTTAACGACAGTGTTGTTTTATTGCTAACTACCTCCTCATATATTTTTACACCCGCACTAACCCTTATCCCAAACTGCAGGTTTCTGACTACTTCCTAAAACCAGAGACAGCGAAGACTGCCATGAAGTTGATAGGAGACAGAAAGCGAAGACACGACTTGATAATGTTACAGGGACAGCCAACCAAACGAACTAAAACAGGACCGGCCAATGGTCCATGTTCCAACATAGCCAATTAGGCAACAACGAGGATATGTTACAACAGAAGGATGTTTTAACATTAATGAGAAAAACTTCGATTATTTTAGGATATCGATTTTTTAGCCTTTTATAGAAAGTTACTAGTGAACGTGCCAGACCCAATAACCAAATTATTCGCTTAGTTTTTTCTTTTCGCAGTTTTATAACATAACCTATTTACAGTTAAGTATTGCATTTTAACAGATTTTCAAAATCGTTTTATAAAATCTATAAATTGTACTTTTGTTATAAATATAATAAAATGTTTCATAAATATACTCCGAGTTGAACTATGTCAAGATTTACAACAAAAAAAAACAAACCCAGTAAGCCTTAATGGCGAACAGGGATTACAAAATAAAATTAAAGGTAAAAATGTAAAAAATAAAAAACAGATGGCTCAACTGAAGATTAACCAGCAATGGCTGTGCTGGTATATAAAGAATTGGCCAAAGAATGACAGCCTAGACAGCCTTTCTGATAATTTTATAGCAGAGACTGAAGCTACGGAACATGCAGATAACCTTCAGATAGGTCACACTGAATCCTCATCAGATTGTCCTTCTCACAGATGACAGTTCTGTCCTGCTGTCTCAGAGAAATCAAAAAGCCTCTTTTATCTGATATCTCAGACCAGCCATAGAAAGCTTAAACTATATCAGCAACACGTCTGTGCTTCAGTAGATAACGGGCATTATATATATACTAGGCATGCTGCCCAGCTTCGCTTAGGCTTTCGAAAACATTGTGAATTTTAATGCTTAATTAATTCGCCCGAGGGTCGGTCTACGATCTCAGGAGTTATGAAGAGGTTCCTCCGTGGACATTTTTTTTTCGATTTATAGCTCATATAAGGCGCCGGTCAGTCGAGGTCAGTTTTGACCCCATCATCGTAGACTTTTCGGCCAACCGGCCCCCGTGTTCTGTTGCCCCAAGGCAAGATCCTGCCAAATTTGAAGCGCATGCGGCGCCGGGAAGTGCCCTATCGGGCACCCGACAACTTTGCTTTATATATTATAGAGATTAGCAAATTGCATAGATAAACAAAGATTTCAATAAAGTAATTAAGGCCTTAATACTTTAGTATAGACATGTATTATTTGAATAGATTCTAGATCTAGGTAGGGTCTACATAAATTTTATAAGTTTAGGCCGGAAAAATTGTATTGTATACATTTCATAGTGTACGTAGATCTAAATCAAATTTGAATGAAATAGTTCATTTCTTTTTATTCTCAACACGGCAGATGACGTCATTAGTTAATGTATAAGCAATAGTGACGTCACAGTTTTATGCGTTCTTTTTCACATCTATTAATGCTTTTCCGGTTGCATAAATAAAATTGTTTTTCTACATTCGAATACGCCTGTATTTTTTATTTTTCTTTTTTAAATAAAATTGTGGTTATACATTTAAAACATCTAACATATTATTTTCAACAAAAGTCCGTATAAAGTTCTCCATATATCGCTGCCGTTTCTGACTTGATGTCCGGCGAAAATATTTTGCGGACAGACAGAGAGAGAGAGAGAAGTGCGCACATTGGGCTTTTATATATTAGGATATATATATATACTAGCTGCATCCCGTGCTCCGCCACGGTAAATCTTTTTTTAAATGTACCAACTTGGGAACAGAACAAAACTAAACACAACACAAATGAACGCAAAAAAAAGTCACAAACGAAAAAAAAACACAAAACTCATACCAAAAAAACAATTTAAATGCAATCATCAAGGCATATTGCTCACAGTCTAGCCCGTAGCGCCAAATCGTGCCCTTTCCGAGCGCCGGCGGACGCGTCTGACTCCGTGAATAAGGCGTAGCGACCCTTTCCGGCGCCCGGGGACAAACTCAAACTTTCAATTTCCACCCCACCCCCTCAAACTTTCGATTTGCACCCCCTCCCCCCCCCCCCCCCCGCAAATTTTCAATTTGTATTTCCAGCCCATTTAGGCGCCCCCTAAGGTCGGCGCCCGGGGACAAATGCCCCCCCCCCCCTTTGCTACGCCTCTGCTATAAAACCCCTGGCTTGTCCGGAAACCAAAAGATAAAATAATAATTAGTAAACAATACGTATAGCGTATAAAATAAATTAAACGCAGTATTTAGAATATCCGTGTTTTACCGACCATATTGCACTTTATAAATTCATGCATTTTTTTCAGTACTTTTTAAAATTTACAATAAAGTTTCATGACTAAAACCATTGCGCACCTAATGAACGTGATGACTTAATATAATAATTCGAGAATAGTTGATTAAAAATTTTAATTAGTAAACAGTACATTCAGTGAATAAAATAAATAAAATATAGCCTTTTATCAATCAATGCTAATTATAATATTCCAACAATAATGTACTCTTACACGTCTGCATAATTTGCATTCACATTTTGCTAATTATATTATTCCAACAATTATTCCGTCTTGCAGATTTTGCATTCACATTTTTAGCGCGAGTTCAATTTATTTTTAAATTACCTCCTTTGGCAAAATTACTAAACAGTTTAATTAGATTTTTCTACCCTACAGTTATTATGTTATGAAAATGTATCCATTTTTTCTAGGAATATAAACGAAAACGATATTTGACATTGATCCATTTAATATGCTTTAGCAATGTGCGTGTATTTAATATTCTCTTTACGTTATGCAAAAAAGTAAAAACGGTGGCAATTATAAAATAGCTCTATGCCGTTATATAAACAAACCCTACTCTATTTCTTATAATAAGACACTGCAGTGCACTGAAAAGCACAGTAAGGTGCGATGTTTCCTTTTATGGTTTCAAAATCTATAACGATGACAGAAGGACTGACACACGCTCAGCCCGCTTATATTATATATATATATATATGTATGTATATATATATATATATATATATATATATATATATATATATATATATATATATATATATATATATATATATATATATATATATATATATATATATATACAAGCAAATGTGATCGCCGAAATTCTTGCTAAAATTTGGGTCAAAGAAGACAGAGATTTCAATACATCCAAAAGAAATTGTAAAATTTGTAAAAAATAAATAAAACGAAAACAAGTCAGCATCTAGTCTGGCTCTCACATGCTAATTAAAGCAAGTACGACGCCTATATCAAACAAAATTATCGCTAGACTTAGAACAGGCCAGAACAGCATGAAACAGCTTATATTTAGAAACTTAAACGTAGAGCCAACGAGGCATGCCCTTGTGTTCTTACATTCAGGGTCAGCTCGTTGTTTGACCAAATGTCGTCTTCTTGTCTACAAAATGCAAGGCCGCATGAAAATTATAAGAAATATAAAACTCATTCAAATATGAAAATTATGAAAATGGTAAAGTATTATGTAAATACACTGATTACCATTTTAAATTTCGTCACTATATCAGAAAACAAGGTAATTAAAAAGGCTAGTGACAATTTTAGCGCAATTTCCTTATGTTATCTAAAAATAGCTCTGTCGTAGCGTAAATCAAGAGCAGGGTTAGTAAAACCATTGGTTAGTTATTAAAACGTTTTTTATTAATTTTTTTTCAGTATTTTACATGTTTTATTTAAAATAGAGTTACATGACTAAAAACCATTGCGCGCCTAGCTACCGAACTTGATGGCGCAGACATTGAACGTGATGGCGCAGCTATTGAACGTAATGACGTGTGTGGTGTGGTTGGATAAAAATGCCTACTAATTCGGTCCGAATTTTAATTAATTCAAAATTTTTTTTGTGACCGAACGAAAGGATATTTTTCAAAACTTTCTTCGGCAATATTGTTCTAAATTATGGCAGAAATCGATTGGTACATGTTTCAAGTCGCTAAGTGGTCTGGTTGCCGAAATATGGGCCAAAAACTGCATTTTTTCGAGGTTTTTTTGGCTTTTCCGTGAAATCCATGAAAGAAACCCGGAATTTTTTTGGCCTATGTTCATTCTTGTATCTTGCTTAACATAATTGCTTTGGAACTAGTCCTCGATATTGCTTCGTTGAGGAGGAGATACGACTTAAAGCTGCGGACACACATCCATTCATTCATTCATACATCCATACATCCAGAAATAACGGGTTTATAAACGCCGTTCTCCAGAATGGAAATTGCGCTAAAAATTATTTCACAAAATATATGAACCAGCACCCGAATGTTTCACACAACATAAAGCGCACCTTTTGCACGGGTGCGCACGACACATTAGAAGGAAGCAGTTTTTTGCGCGTCCATAAAATAACTTTACTCATTACTGTATTCTATTTTGTCCCCACCACCAAATTTAAAACTAAGACTACTGAGCTCGGAAAATGACAAAGAGAAGTATAATTTGCGATATGGTAAGTGGCTTTAAAGCATCATCGCCAGCAGTTAATCAGCAGAGTCAGATGGACGGTCTAACCGTCTACTTAAATGGCCAATCAGACGGCTCGAGTTTTCTGGGCAAGTTGCCTTCAGTGGTGTTGGTAAACATCTTCCGATTTGTTGACAACAAAAATGAGCTGTTAAGGCTTGCGAGTGTGTGTAGATCTTGGAGGGATTTGATTTACACCACGCCTACTTTGTGGAGGAACATGCACCTGAAACTGTGCTGCAAATGTAAATGTTTGAACAGGAAAAAAGCTTTCTCGACAGCTAAACGCTTCGGATGCCACTTGTGTGAATTGTCAATCTCCGTCTGCAAACACCATAAATGCTATCCAAACTGCTGCTACTTGGCCACCGTTTTCCGGAAATATTTGCAAGATTTACGTCATCCGACACTGACGTCAATAAAAATAAATGACATAGAACTGCGATTCGCATCAACTAGAACCATGTCCAGTATCAGTAGGGAAATGACGCGTTTGGTGTCCAGACTTGACCGTCTACAATGTTTCAAGATGACCAAAGCTCAATGGCCAAAAGAAGAAGGCAACAATCTCCTCAACACAGTGCTGACCACATCCAGAGGAACCCTTCAATCGCTGGACATTGACGGATTCTTCGAAGAAAAACCGTTGGCTGAGAAGCCGGTTAAACTTGACCAACTGACCACTGGTATCCTATCTCTCACCCGCTTGACGAAACTTGGGATTGACTATATATTATTGACTGATGACTTCGTGACTTCACTGTCTAGATCCCACGCAGGACAACTACAGAAACTGAAACTTGTTGCTACGGGGATTGCGGATGAATTTATACAAAAGATCACCAGCAACTGTTGGGTGAAGCTGGTATGTATATACGGAACCAAATCCTACCCCCCCCCAACACACACACACACTCCCCGTTAATCATCCCCGGCCTTTTCCCCCACCCATCATTACTCTCATGTACATCAAAGCTCCCCTCTCTAGTATCTCACTCCTGTCATTTGCTTCCCTCATTACTCTCTCCTCTGACTTTAATCTCTTCTACTTTCCTTTCTTAATTCTAGTCCCTTCTCGCTCTTCTATCCCCCCTCACTCTTTACTCGCTCCTCTTTATCTTCTGTCTGTCATCTCTCTCTCTGCTTTCTTGTCCAATCTCTCCCTTTTTTTTTCTCTCTCTCTCTCTCTGTACTCACTTCTTTATCTCCACTCTCTCCACTCTCTCCTCTTTTCTCTCTTCCTCTCTCACAGCAAACAGAGTATTTGCCTATATTTTTTCTCTGTTCCCCCACCAGATAAAAGCTTGTCCAGCACTGCAAGTGGCGTTTTATGTTGACCCCGAAATATTCGAAAATAATACTCTTGACCTGATGGACCCCGTCTTGCCCATCTGCAAGATCAAATTCTTTGAAGAGGACAGGAATACCGACATGACTGGTGTGTTGATACATATCGCCATTAACTTTAGGTACGTCAGAGACTCGCTTTGTTTCTAACTGGGTGTTTTTGTTAACACTGGTTGTAACAGTATGTGCGTTTATATATATAGGCCTATATTTATATGTATAGGCCTATATATATATATATATATATATATATATATATATATATATATATATATATATATATATAGGCCCTATACAGTTTAATTGAGGTGACTGCTTCAGTATTGGTATCATAGACCCTCACCAGCAGTGGAGATGTCGAGATGTGTCCATTTGTTCTTTAAAGTGTATTTGACTTAACCTATTTATTAATGAAACTAAAACTAAAAAGGCATTGTTTTATCTTTATTTTTGTAAATTTGTCGCCCAAGGGTCACCCCAATAACTGGTGTCATGGGGTGCGGCCCAACTATTTCTCCACTCCATCCCTTCTCCCCCTGCTAAACGTAAAAATAGACCAAGATGTTAATACTGCTGGCTTATGTAGGTGTCTAACAAGGGTAGGGAAGATAACGCTAGCTCAAGGGAGAAAACTAATCATTCTAACCATGTTGCCTACAGACAGAGCCTTGTGATGCTGTCCGGCGACTTGAACCACAGATCGGAAAAGATCGATGCAACCTTTCTGAATCTTGTCCGAAAGTGTCAATATCTGCGATATGTCAATGTAAGTCAAAGATAAGACCACCATACAGTTAACATACAGAGCAACATACAGACCAACATACAGTTACGATAAAAGCCAACATATAGGCGAATATACAGACTAACATACAGGCCAACATTCATTCAACATTCAGACCAACACTCATACCAACACACAGACCAACATGCAAATCAACATACAGTCCAACGAATCTTTTTATGTTAAACTACCTCTAACCATACAAGCAACATTATAACACTATCTGAGACAGGTAAAGTAACATCAAGCCGACATGTACCGTAATATTAGGCTCCACCCTCCAACCTATCTACATCCAACATAAGATAAATTTTAATTTTAACGACTGATTTTTTTAGAATCAGAGCTACGCCGCTGATATGAATTCATAATTTTAACGACTGATTTTTTAGAATGATTAATACCATCTCTACTACTTCCTACACCACCACTAACCTCCTACACCACCACTAACCCTCCTACACCACCACTAACCCTCCTACACCACCACTAACCCTTATCCCACACTACAGGTGTCTACCTCCTACACCACCACTAACCCTCCTACACCACCACTAACCCTTATCCCACACTACAGGTGTCTACCTCCTACACCACCACTAACCCTCCTACACCACCATTAACCCCCCTACACCACCACTAACCCTCCTATACCACCACTAACCCTCCTACACCACCACTAACCTCCTACACCACCACTAACCCCCCTACACCACCACTAACCCTTATCCCACACTGCAGGTGTCTGGCTACTTCCTAAAACCAGAGACAGCTAAGACTGCCATGAAGTTGATAGGAGACAGAAAGCGAAGGTACGACTTGAGAATGTTACAGGGGCCACCAACCAAACGAGCGAAGACAGGACCGGCCAATGGCCCACACTCGAACATGGCCAACTTGGCCACGACGCGGACTTAGTAACAACAGATGTTTATTGATACAATGTGAACAACCTGAATTTGTAGTATTTAAACCTTAGCTTATAAATGATAAACAGTTGTAAATATCATCGGACTCTTGGTAAAGTACAGTCAATGTTTAACAATAAGTGGACAAATCGTATCGCTGATGATCTATGTTTAAATCGTTTTTAACTATATTTTAATCTCATTTTATATACGACTTGGATTACAATATACTTATATATATTTATATCTGATTTGTTTTTAACGTTTTATAAACTCTATACAATGAAATTTTGACCGACTGTATTGGTCTTTTTGTTATAAGCATAATAAAACGTTTGATACATATACTTTGTGTTATAAGTATAATAAATCTTTTGATACATATACTTTGTGTTTTGGCGTCTATGAATCTAAACACTCGCTTAAATAGATACTGTATTATCCTGTCGGCGATTTTCTCAGGACCCAAACACAACCTGCACTACACTTAAATAAAACAAATATTAAAAACATGTATGAGAACAAGCTTTTAAATGCGGTAAAAATAAGATAAATAATACGTAGCTGCTTTCTTTAATAAAATCGCCAAAACTTGTAGTCGATTGCATGAGCGACCAATGCTTTTATAAAACCATTTAAATTAAATTTATCATTATTAAGATTTTTATTGTTTTATTTTTTGCTTTTTATTAATTCGTTAAAAATAAAATAGACGCCATATATAGGCTACGACAATAAATAGCTGCGCTAAACCACATCAGTTGCCTGCACTCTCTAAAAGACAATTATCTGCCCCTTCTGAGTCCGTGGTCAACTCGTAGGTAAAATTACAAACAAGCTGAGAAACAATAGTTGACTGTCGACGGCTAGCTTATACCGATACAGTAATAAATCGACCCATGATTTTCTTTATAGTTATTTAAATAGCTGTGCACTTCCAGCATGTAACTCCCTCGTACAACTATTTCTGATAAGATATAAATTAAATTTCAGCCTAACATAATAACCAATAGCCAGTGCAACGCACCTTTCTGCACTAGTGTGCAGAATTCTATTGAAGGAAGTAACTTTTATGCGCACTTATGACGTCATTTAATAAATGTCTTCTGTCTTTTGCCGCCAACAGACCCCAGGTGTAAAGCTCAATCACTTTGAGAATGGAAAAGGTAATTAAGATTTGTGATACCAATAGTGGTTTGAGTGTATCCTCGCCAGCAGTCAAACATAAGAGTCAGATGGACGGTCTAACCGTCTACTTAAATGGCCAATCAGACGGCTCAAGTTTTCTAGGCAAGTTGCCTTCAGTGGTGTTGGTAAACATCTTCAGATTTGTTGACAACAAAAATGAGCTGTTAAGGCTAGCGAGTGTGTGTAGATCTTGGAGGGATTTGATTTACACCACGCCTACTTTGTGGAGGAACATGCACCTCGAGTTCTGCTGCAACTGTAAATGTTTAAACAGGAAAACAGCTTTCTCGAACGTTAAACGTTTTGGATGTCACTTGTATGAGTTGTCGATTTCAATATGTGAACACCACAAATACCACGTGTTTTGTAACTTTTTGGTCATTGACTTGCGGAAACTGCTGCTCAGTTTACACCATTCGACACTAAAGTCTGTAAAAATTGATGATATAATAGTTCTGGAAACATCGTGCAGAACAATGTCCGGTATCAGTCGGGATTTGACGTCCATGGTGTCAAGACTTGACCGTCTACAATGTTTCAAGATGACCAAATCTCAATGGCCAATAGAAGAAGGCAACAATCTCATCAACACAGTGCTGACCACGTCCAGAGGAACCCTTCAGTCGCTGGACATTGACAGGTTCTTCCACACACGCTTGTTGGCTGAGAAACCGGTTAAACTTGACCAACTGACCACTGGTATCCTATCTCTCACCCGCTTGACGAAACTTGGGATTGACTATATATTATTGACTGATGACTTCGTGACTTCACTGTCTAGATCACATGCAGGACAACTTCAGAAACTGAAACTTATGGCAAGCGCGGCTATGAATCAACTCATTCCAAAGATCTCTAGCAACTGTTGGGAGAAGCTGGTATGTAAATAATGGCTGCTTGTTCAAGCGTTTGCATGACGTATTCGATTCTAATTTTACGCTTGTATGTTATTACCCAAACACTCTAGTGAGTTAGAGTTATCTGATTTAAGAACTTGTCCAGTGTTAGCTTAGGCAAATTATTCTCCATTACAAATTGCACGCATTTGTCATAATTGCCAGCATATTTTAATACGATGATGAAATGGCAAGTAACTAAACATTTTTAAAAATACAACGGGCTCTTACAGTAATAATACCTTCAAGGCTTATGTTGTTTAGCACTTTTAACAATTACTATGTCAATGTGGAAAGGCGTAGGGGTGGTAGGGAGGATAGGGGACCACAATGCCAAGCTGCTTTTATTTTCCCCGACGTGAGTCAGGTACCCAATCGGAGCTGGGTAGACTCAGGTACATCCGGCAGTCCCGAGTCCTGATTGAGTTCCGAACTCGAGACCTTTTGGAAAGCAGCTAAACGTCAACCACCTTAAGAAAACGGCTAAGTTGTGATGTGTTCTCACTTCTCTTTGTTTCTACCCCGTATTATATTGAAGAGGCATCTTGATCAGAAGGCAGATATAGTGGAAGGGCAGGGTGCATGGGGGTGGGGGGGTTGTAGATTTGTAGACCGTCCTTAAATTATGCTTAACTTCTGTAATAGTTGCAAATAAATACAAACGTAGTGATACTCTCTCTCTCTCTCTCTATCTCTCGATGTGACACAAACAGACAGAGGCATGCCCAGCAATGAAAGTGGCGTTTTATGTAGACGGTTGGGTTTTCAACTTTTTGAATCTAAACCTGGGTATACTGGACCCCGTGCTGCCCATCTACAAGATTCGAATTTTGAATTTGGCCAGGTGTTTTACTATGGCCACAGTGCTCACATACATCACTACACACTTCAGGTCGGTGGGGGACTTGTTTTAGTTCGTGTGTTTATATGTGTGGATCTGTGTGTTTATATGTGTGGGTCTGTGTGGTTATATGTGCGGGTCTGTGTGTTTATATGTGCGGGTCTGTGTG